CCCTCCACCACCCCCCGCCCTGGGGAACGTAGTCGTTAGACACTGTGAAACGTCTTGATTCCCCTGCCATGTCGCCGAGGGGGCGGTTTATTTTTTCGGTTGCTCCCTCTCCTCCGCCCCCTCCTTTTTTCGGTGTCATTTATGTGTGCGTGTGTGTGTGTGTGTGCGCGTGTGCGCGTGATGCTGCTCATTTGTGTCCGGGGGGGGCAGGGAAAGACCCTCGATGGGGGTTGTGATGGCAATAGCCCTGCTAGGTCGAGGAGGGGGGAAAGAATTGCAGAGACCGCCCCCCGCCACCCTAGAGCGGGTGGGAGGGTGGAGAAGGTGTGATCACATGCGTGGGAGATCCCTGAATCCTTCCAGTGGGATCCACTAGGACTGGGCGGGGCATGGAAATCCACCCCCTTATGGGTCTTGTCTGCAGTGAATGGAGCCCCTGGCTGGGGGGAGCTGGGGGGAGAGCAGAGGTAGGTTAAGTCCTTGCCGTGCCTCAGTTTCCCCGGCTGGTGGTGGAGGCAGCAAGGCCCATGGTGGGGGCTGCAAGAGTTGGCCCCGAAAGCATTGCAAGCTGCTGCCAGGTGATGGCCCCAGAGTGGGTGTTAATGCCCCCCGCCCCCTGCTTGGGGTGGGAGGTTAGAAGCACCCCCTGGTTTCAGATGCCCCCTGAAGGCAGAAAGGAGAACTGCGCCTCCCTCTCCCACCTAATTAGACCCAATTAGCTATTCTTATTGCAAAGCCATTGACCCAGCTGCCCCCACTGCCTCGCCCACCCTCCCTGGTCTTTTTAACCCTTCGTCCTGGCAAGGGCAAGACGCCCAGCTCAGCAGGGATGGGGCCAAGCCTGGGAACGGGGGCTTCTAGTCTGGGAAGCCACCGATTCAGCCTCCTCCCAGCAGAGCCCAGCTGCAAATAGTGGGGGCAGGGTGGGGGTCCTGCTGTGCTCTGGGATGATGTCAGCGGTGGGCGGTGATGTCACGGCTCTGTGAGCCGATGCCGTACTGGGCCCGGGGGTGCAGCAGCTGATCACGGAGGGCTGTGTTGAGCCTTGGGTGCCTGCTGGCTTGAGTGATCCCCTGAGTGGGGCCTAGGAGGCTGTGAGTTTGAATCCCACTGCCCCCCTGCACCCCAGTTTGGGGGGAAACTATGAGCGACTGGGGTAGAAATGAGCTGCTTTCCAGCCAGCTGCCGTACCCTCGGGGTGGTTACCCTGGAAAAGTGGGGTCAAACTCCCTGCAAAGTGGGGGGCTGGGGTGGTGGATGAGGGCTCATTTGCAAAACAAGCAGCACTAATTGTCACATCAGGCATCCCTCAGTCTGGGTGGGGAAGGGGGAACCTGCCACTTGCCTAGTTTAATAACCAGCTCCGTCATCCTGTACCTGGCAGCAGAGCTTAGTGCTGTGACACACTCTCATTAGCAATCTAATGATCAGTGCCCAAGGCCTGTGATTAGCACATAGCAGCAGCGGGCCCTGGTGCACCAGGGCTGTGCAAACCTCCTGGTTGTACATGGGTTGACTGAAAAGGGCCTGACGCTGCTTTGAAGCCAGCCAAGGCTGGAGCTGGGGGGGCTTTAAAGCATCTTGCTGCAAAAGCTAAGCCACATGAGCATGTGTGGTGGGGGGGTGCGGTTCTTAGCCCCAATCTCTTCCCCATGGGTGTTACCCCCTGACCACAGCCTTCTCCCCTCGCCGTGGTGCAGCTTGCAATCGCAGTGCTACTTCTCTCCAGCTCCCAGCCTTTTTTAGGGTCCCCCCCACCCCAACCTGTTAAAAGGGCGAGAAGCCCAATGGCTTGGGTGGGTAGAGAGAAGCCCAGATCTCACCCCCAAAAGGCATCGAGGGCTTCGCTTGTACCGAAGCACGAGCATCTGATGCTTCTTGCAGCACAAAATGGGGGAGAGCTGGGTGGCTGACGGGCACAAGAGGAGCCAAGGGGCAGAGCTGGGCTTCAAGCCCTGGTCTGCTGACTCTGAGGCTGGGCTTCCCTTTGCTATGCCAGGACTAGTGGGTTGGGGACCCCTGAACAGAGGGGAGACAAAAGGATCTCCTTTTCTTGTACTCCAAGCACAAGCCTTGCAATTGGGCTGCTGCTGGGTGACTTAATTGAGGTGGGGGCAGAAAAGCAGAGGGAACGTGCAGCTCAGGTCCAGCTTCCAGCAAAGGGGGCATGGGCTGGGTCCACCCAGGGCTTGCCCGGATTTCATACCAGACAAGCGTGCCGTGAGGCCGGCAGCAGGGTGTTGATCTGTTTGCTGTGCAAAAACCAGTTGGAGAAAGCCCGCCCCTGCCCAGGTAGCTCCAAGTGTGCCATGCCCAACCCCTGCCAACCACAGTTAAAAAGCACAAGGACCATCTCCCAGTGCCCTCAGGACCCTCAGCAGAGATCTGGGCTGGGCTTTCCTTCTAGTGACCGGACCCAGTTTGAACCCCCTGAGTTGCACGAATGCAGTATGGATGCAAGCAGGGGCAGAATCCAGCCGAGACAGGAGCTCCTTAGCCCTGCAGCTCCCTGTCCCCAAGCTTACTTAACGAGAAGCAATCAGCCCTGGGGAACCAGGAGCCAGGCTCGGATCTCAGGTCTGTGGATGGAGGGGTGGATCAGCTGTTCTCCACTGGACGCAGCTGCCGCCTGTTCCAGCTGGGATGCATCTAGAGAGGGTTTGAAGCACATTGATGTCCCCAAAGAAGCCCCCCGAGATGTTCACCCCTAGTGAGGACCCTCCCAACCCACTGCTGCCCACTGCCAAATAATGTCCCGTTCCCTTTAATACTCATGCATTCTCCTGTAAGATGCTAGAGAGTCACTCTGCGCTGTGGCAGCACCGTTGCACTGGAAAAGAGGGGAGGGAGGGGAGATTTCCATGGGGGGCTCCCAGCAAGTACCAGGGAAAGGCGGTGGCTTCCAAGAGCTGAGTGCGAGGTCTTACTCCCTCAGTCTGGCGTGACAAACCCGCAGCTGTTGGAAAAGCACAAATCGGGCAAACGAAGAGCTGGGCCCAGTTGCCCGCTCCAGCTAGGAGGTTGCCCACATACGGGAGGGCTGGGGTTGCTAGGAGGTTGCCCACATACAGGGGCAACCATGCCTCCAGCTAGGGCAGGGGTGGGCAAAATGCAGCCCTGGGGCCGGATGCAGCCTGCCAGGCCATTCTGTCTGGCCCACAGGGTCCCTAAAAAATTTAGAAAATTAATATTAATCTGTCCTGGACTGCCTGTCATGTGGCCCTCGATGGCTTGCCAAAACTCAGTAAGCGGCCTTCCGCCCAAAATAATTGCCCACCCCTGAGCTAGGAGGTTGCCCACATATGGGAGGGCTGCCCCACAGCCATCCTGCAGCCTCTCCAGCCCTCCGTGGGGCAGGAGGACAGGCCCCTCCATGTCTAGTCACAAGCACAGCTCCAGGGAAAGGTGTCTAAATCCCCTGGGATGCAGCTTGGGTCACCTTGCCTGGGGCAGCGAGGGGTTCCCCAGCTGATGTCAAGCACAGCAATGCCAGCCACCCCTCTCCGACAGAGGCTGGGCAAATCCAGAACAAAGCCAATCCCCTGGCCCCAGGACAGGCTACTGCCCTCCACGCCATGGCTTGGGGATGCCATGGCTGGAGCCTGGGTGTGGTGTTGGGAAAAGCTCACGAGCCGAGTCCAGCTCTGCCTGACCCAGAGATCTCACCCTCTCCGCACAGCAAGGGAGAGCATCTCTGTTGTAATACTGCCCGTCCTCGGGGCATCTGGGCTCAGGACCCCGGCGGGGACATGACGCACAGAAAGCACAATGTTGCAGGGGGAACAGCAACAGATCTTGGGCCTGGAGCACCCCAGCCTCTCAACTGCACACACTCCCCCTGGAAAGCCCTAGTGGAGAAGAGACCCAGGGACTTGCCCCACTGGCCCAGACCCCCTCGCACTGCGATCAGTGCTGGTTTGATCTCACCCCCCAAAATACAGGACTCTGCCCCTGCCAACATCAGCTTTATACCTTGGGGGTCTCCCTCTAACCCCCCTGTTGCAAGCATATCCATCCGTCATGCCCAGAGCTGTTCAAGCAAGTGACTCTCAGTCCAAAGCAATCAAAACCGTGCGTCCTACATCCTGTTCTTTTCTCAGTCCCTGTCCCTTCTTTCTCATTCTTCGGTGTAGCTGGTCTTTTTAAGAGAACATCCGTAGTACGTCTGTATGCAAAAAAGGAAAAAAAAAAACCCCCAACAACAAAAAAAAACCCCAAACTGTGCTGTGGTGTAGTTTTTAGATGTTTGTAAAGAACAACCAACCAATCAACAACAAAAAAAGTACAAAAAAAAAAAAGCAAACTACTAATTCAGCTGTGGTCTTTGATTTGTCCATTTTGTATAAAACTGAGTGATTCGATACAACAGTTATTTTAAATGTCATGCTAGGGAAAAACAAAAATCGCCTACAAAAAAAAAAA